GTTCACAAGTGAGACTAGTCTATAGTATGTGTTTATGTTTTTGGTTTTCTAGTTTAGGTATTATGGTTAGGGTGCCTGGTATAAAACTACTATATTTAAGTTTATGCATTAATTGTAGATGAGATGATGATTTTCCATACAATACCTCAAAGATTCAATAGAACTAATAAGAGAATTAATTAAAATTTATGAAAATTAATTTACAAATATATCTCCTATTCTTCTACATGGGCAATTACTAGTTGTGGGAAATAGAAAACATTATTATGTTACAGTGATGGCAAGAAGCATAAATTACATGGAAATTAACCTAACAAAGTTTTCCCAAGACTTTTAAATAGGAAAGTACTTAAAAGTATATTAGAATCTAAGGAAAACGTCTTGTGCCATGCTTAAAGGTGGACTGAAGTAACATTGTGAAGGTTCAAATTCATTTCAAGTTAACATATAAATTCTAGCAGATTTTTGAGGGACCCACAATATATAGTGTATACGTATTAAAACATTTTTAATTTTCACATGATGCAAATACCTAATTCCAGATGATAATTCATCTGTTTCCTTTGTTTGTGACAACCTTCACTAAAAAATAATTAAAAGTAGTGCTTTTGGGGCCAGTGCTGTGGTGTAAGTGAGTAAAGCCACCCCCTGCAGTGCCGGTATCTCATTTGAGTTCTGGTTCCTGTCCCAGCTGCTGCACATTCGGTCTAGCTCTCTGCTATTGCTTGGGAAAGCAGTGGAAGATGGCCCAAGTCATTGGGCCTTTGCACCCATGCGGGAGACCTGGAAGAAGCTCCTGGCTCCTGGCTTCAGTCTGGCTCAGCTCTAGCCATTGTGGCCATTTGGGGATGGAACTAGCAGATGGGTGAGCTCTGTCTCTGTCTCTGCCTCTCTCTTTCTGTAGCTCTGACTCTCAAATAAATAAATCTTAAAAATAAAATAAAATAAAAAATAAAGCAATCTTCTCATCTGGAAACATGCAGACATTGTTTAATTAGCAAAGAAAAGGTAGTTAATTTTTTTCCTCTAATTTAAAAAAAAGGCAGTGCTTTTGTCTGACTTACAAATTATTTTTCCACCTCAAAGCTACAAAAATATTCTACATTTTCTTCTATTAGAAGATAAAATGTATATGAGAGAGTAAAGAAAATATATGTAAGTTAATAAAGATACACAACTAGGTAAGACATTTTTGAAAAAGAACAAAAGGGGAGGAAGCTCACCCTCCCAGACTTTAAGACCAACTATATAGCCATATAAGGGGTGAATGGCAAAAGAAAAATGGTACAAAGCAGAAAGCCCAGAAGTAACTTTTTTATTTTTTCTGTAACTTCTCATATGTAACTTCACATAAAGTAGCAGTAGGGGAAAGAATTGTTCAGTAGATATTATTACAGAAATGGGCTGATTCTCTTGAGAGAAATAAAATCATATCAATATCTTTATTTCATGAACGAAGGTAAATTTAAGACCAGGTAAGCTGAAGACTCACATGCAAAAATGAAATTAGAAAGTTAATGGACAAAGGATTAATGTCTGTGGTATAAACAGAATTTAATAGTAGTAAAAACAAATAGAAAATAAGTAAAGAACAGCAATTTATAGAACAGCACCCTGATTAGGTAATGTTCATCGGATGAGATGCTGAAGTCCACTTATAAACAGAAAAATGAAAATTAAAACCATAAGATACTACCTTATCCTCATTATTAGTCTAACAAAAAAAGATTAGATGTGGTAATAGGGGACCTTTATGTGCTGCTGGTGGGAATATAAAATAGTATAGTTATCCTAGAGAGAAATCTGGCAGTGTTCAGGGAAATTGAAATGATATTCTGTAATAAATCTGATTCTGGGAGTAAACTGAAGAAACCCTCCCACGGATATAATAAGGGGACCTATACAAGATTATGCATCACTGCCTTTGGAACAGATGAAATTGTAAATGCATCATCATACCTTTAATCTAGTCATGTACTCTTTCCATACTCTCAATTCCTACCTCTTTTCTTCATCCTTACTACAACTGGAAATACATTTGACCTTAATATTTCTAACAAAACCTACTTTCATTCATGTCCTCATTTCCTTCATACAGAGCTTACATTCCATGCTCCAACACTTAATCCTCCTTTAACTATCATATCCCCCTCTTGCTCTCATATTCTCACCTGGCAAAACTCCAACCCTATTTGATCTAACTTTGCACACTTTCACAACTATAATGAAGGGAGCTGAATATGGACAGTGAAAAATCTCAAAATCATGCTGGCTGGCATCACTTTAAATTTATCATCCTCCATCTCAAATAGATTGTGCTGCCAGCAAGCATGTGTCATCAATCTCTTCATCTTCGCACTCAATGTATGTGTTGTACACAGAGCAACATGGATAGATACTTTTAAAATATTAATTGAAAAAACTGAGTATAAGGTGTTCAGTAAAATGTAATTTAAGCAAATTAGACACATACTGCAAAATAACACTAAAGTCTATGTACGGTATTTCTAATTTTTCATGAATACATTCATGCTTAAGATCTATGAAATATACTTAACTGGTTGCCCAGAGGGGGAAATAAAATGGAGTGGATAGGAAATTAAGAAAAAATAGTAGAATAAATTACAATGAGGTTGGCCAGTGCCGTGGCTCACTAGGTTAATCCTCCGCCTGGGGCACTGGCACCCCAGGTTCTAGGCCTGGTTGGGGCGCCGGTTCTGTCCCGGTTGCTCCTCTTCCAGTCCAGCTCTCTGCTGTGGCCAGGGAAGGCAGTGGAGGATGGCCCAAGTGCTTGGGCCCCTGCACTCGCATGGGAGACCAGGAGGAAGCACCCAGCTCCTGGCTTTGGATCGGTGCAGCGCCGGCCGTGGCGGCCATTAGGGAAGTGAACCAACGGAAGGAAGACCTTTCTCTCTGTCTCTCTCTCTCACTAACTCTGCCTGTCAAAAAATAAATAAATAAAATTTAAAAAATTACAATGAGGTAAATGCCTTAAGCATACTGATAGTGAACTGTAGAACCAGATCTCAATTCCCTGCACCTGAGATTTATTTTTTATAGTTAAAAAAAAGAAAAAGAAACAGACAAATGATCTGTCTAGAGACAGCAAGCACAACTAGTCTGGTATGGCACTTAAAATAAAGTGCTTTTCATCCTAGTATATAAGAATCCTTCAGCAAAAAATCCAGCCTCCTGCCTTCCTACTCTCAAATTGATATTTTGAGTTCTGTTGTCAATAGGAACCAGATAGGTCACACATATACATATGTATAAAATGGGTTGCAAGCACAGAAACCACTGACTTTTGCCCAATAGTCATTTGTGTGATCCTAATGTTGCTATCTAGTCCTCTTTTTTTCCTCCTAAAGAAGCCAAAAATATCATTTTATGTTGTCTTCCAATTTTAGATTATTTGCAGTATCATTTATAAAATTTATATCACTATGTGAATCCTGATTAAATTCATGGGCAAGGGGCCGGTGCTATGGCTCACTTGGCTAATCCTCTGCCTGCGGTACCAAAATCCCATATGGGCGCCGGTTCTAGTCCTGGTTGCTCCTCTTCCAGTCCAACTCTCTGCTGTGGCCTGGGAGGGCAGTGGAGGATGGCCCAAGTGCCTGCACCCTTGCGGGAGACCAGGAAGAAGCACCTGGCTCCTGATTTTGGATTGGCGCAGTGCCGGCCGTAGCAGCCATTTGGGGGGGTGAACCAATGGAAGGAAGACCTTTCTCTCTGTCTCTCCCTCTCACTGTCTGTAACTCTACCTGTCAAATAAATAAATAAAAAATCTTTAATAAAATAAATAAATACATGGGCAAACACATAGAGTTTCTAGTCAGTCTTAATCCCTTATTCTTAAATATGAATGGGCAACTATGAATCATCAGATATTTAAGGAGTGCCTGCATCATGACTTAAGTTAGTTATACTGAAAAAGCCCATTCCCTTGGGAAACAGAGATAATTCTGGACAAGTCTCCAGAAGAGAAGACTACCATAAAGAGTAATATTTCTAAGTCTAATAGCTATTTCTGAGTCCCTGTACTTCATTTTAGAAGGTCATATTTAAGTGTCCTTATTGGCTCCCTGGATTTATGGGAAATGGTATATTTACCCTAGAATAATTCACATTGCAAAATCCTGTTGTATTCATGAATTGGTTAAAAAAAGGGTTTATTTATTTGAAAGGCAGAGTTACAGAGATGGAGAGGCAGGGAGAGAGAGAGCGAGCACAAGCACAAGCTTCCATCTGCTTGTGCACTCCCTAGGTCAAAACTAAGAGTCAGGTGCTTCATCTGGGTCTCCCATGTGGATGCAGTGGCCCAAGTACTTGGGCCATCTTCTGCTGCTTTCCCAGATGCATTATCAGGGAGCTGGATCAGAAGTGGAGCACCCCGGGACTTGAACCGACACCCATACGGAATGCTGGTGCTGCAGGTGGTAACTCAAACCAGTGCACCACAGCGCTAGTTCCATGGATTAGTTACTTCTGACCTTCCATACTGTATCTCTCTACTGTCTGCAAAATATGAGTGAGATAAATGTCACCATTCCACCACAGAGTGCTCAGGTGGCTGACAGAATGTTAACAAATTTAATTCTTAAGAGAAATACCACGATATTGGTGCTGTGCATTGTTCTTGTAGAGAAACATCAGGATGTACAGGCCTAAGACAGGGTTTGATGACAGGATACTTTCTTTATTATTTTTGTATTATATTATCCTTGGATATTTTTAGATATAAAAAGTGAGTAGTAAGACAGAATAAGGCCAAGAGAAAATATTTTATGATAATAGGCTATATGCTTTTAAGGAATAATTAGAGTGAACTGTAGATTTCTTTAGTTTGAAATCTAGTTTTACTAGGGATTTTAAGATGAATGAATTCTGTCTGAGATTTTAAATACACACGGGTTGAATTGAATAATTTACTTGAAAATCTTGGTCATTTATTCCTCAAATAAAATTGTTTGCCTTTAATGATTCTTTTGGTGACTTAGGTCCACATTTCTCCACTCGGAATTTTTACTTGTCACTTTCAACAGAATTCCTGTCTTCTTATTTAACTGCTGTATGCCGACCAACTTCCAAAACACAACGCAAGATTGTGGAAAGATACAAAGGTAAATTGAATGTAGACTGTGCCCTCATAAATCTGCTGCTTACTGTGCCAGAAACTGCTGGCCGTTTGTATAAAAAGCCTAAAAGGAATACTGTCATTCTTTTCTTGAAATGGGGTAATATTCTTGTTAAATTTGCAGGATCTGGAGTCAGACTGAGTTAAAATGAGCTCTGGAATTTAATAGTTGGATGGCCTTGGACAAGTTACTGAACCTTCCTGCCTATTTTCTTATCTGTAAAGTTATAGTACAAATTACTACATATTTAGATTTTGGTAATTTAGTACAATACTGTTTGTTAAAGGATGGGAGAGGGACCAGCACTGTGGCATAGTGCTACCTGAAGTACCTGTCTCCCCTTATGGACACCATTTGGAGGCCTGATTGCTGCACTTCTATCCTCCTAATAGACTGGGAAATCATGGAAGATAGCCTAAGTCCTTGGGCTCCTGCACCCACATGGAGACCCAGATAAAACTCCTGGCTGTTGGTTTTGGTCTGGCCCAGTCCTGACTATTGTAGCCATTTGGGGAGTGAACCACTGGATGGAAGATAGTCTCTCTTTCTCTCTCTCTCACTACCCCCCTTCTCTCTGTACCTTTCTCTTCCCCCCATCCCATAAACTGTGCCTTTCAAATAAATAAATAAATAAATCTTTTAAGAAAAAAGTATGGGAGAGCTGCTTCTGGATTCTCATATTACATAGAAATTCAGGAATTAATGCTTGTAATCACCCTTGGAATAGATTTTATTTGCCTATTTAGTGATAAGAAAACCAAGTTTTTAAAAAAATGAGTAACTTTTTAAAGAATCCACCAGTAATATCAGAACTGGAATGTGGTTAATTTTCATCTTGTGAACAGGGTTATCAAATTTTGTAAGAGAGTCACATTTTAGGTATTCTGGGTCATCATGAGATAGTGTCCCAATTTTCAGTATGTAAAATAAAATCTCCATAGTCCTCATTGCCTGTTTTAAATGACTGGGATTTTCAAGATTCAAGCCCCAGAAAATGATTTTAAAAAGAGAAATTTGAGAAAAAAGCCATTACTTCCTGTATCAGGGAAATTTCTGAGATTTTTGAAGATCAAATTCTTACATCTTCTCTTGAGTTCATAGGTCTGGCCTTGCACAATGATGCCACTTGATGTGATTTAAAGAAAACAGCCCAGGCATCAAATTTCTTTCCTGATAAATTCAGTGCACAGGTCCCAAACACGGACTCTTAGAAATGAACATCCTGGGCCAGCACTGTGGCTTAGCAAGTAAACCTGCCACCTGCAGTGCCTGCATCCCATATGGGCACCACTTCAGGTCCTGGCTGCTCCACTGCCAGTGCAGCTCCCTCCTAATGCAACTGGGAAAGCTGCGAAGGATGGTCTAAATCCTTGGACCACAGCCATTTGGGGAGTGAATTAGCAGATGGAAGACCTCTCTCCCTCTCTCTGCCTCTACCTTTCTGTAATTCTGCCTTTTTTTTTAAAGTAAACTTATCAAAAAAATAAACATCTTTGTATGACTTGATTTTTTTAGAAAGCTTTTATTTAATGAATACAAAATTTCACAGGTATAGCTTTAGAAATATAGCGGTTCTTCCCCCCATACCCACCCTCCCACCCTCACTCCTGTCCCACATCCTACTCCCTCTCTCATCCCATTCTTAAGATTCATTTTTAATTATATACAGAAGACCAACTCTATACTAAGTAAAAATGTCAACAGTTTGCACCCACACAGGCACATGAGGTATAAAGTACTGTTTGAAGACAAGTTTTACCATTAATTCTCGTAGTACAACTCATTAAGGACAGAGGTCCTACCTGGGGAATAAGTGCACAGTGACTCCTGTTGTTGATTTAACAATTCACTCTTATTTTATGACATCAGTGATCACCTGAGGCTATTTTCATGAGCTGCCAAGACTATGGAAGCCTTTTGAGTCCACAAACTCCCTCTGTATTTAGACAGGGCCATAAGCAAAGTGGAGCTCTTTCCTCCCTTCAGAGAAAAGTACACCTTCTTTGATGGCCCCTTCTTTCCACTGGGATCTCACAGAGATCATTTTTTACCACAGTGTCTTGGCTTTCCATGCCTAAAATGCTCTCATGGGCTTTTTAGCCAGATCCAAATGCCTTAAGGGCTGATTCTGAGGTCAGAGTTCTGTTTAGGCTGTTTGTCATTCTATGAGTCTGCTGTGTGGACTGGTTCCCACGTTGGACATTCCCTCCTTTTTTATTTGGTCAATTGTTATTACCAAACACTTGATGCTATTTAACACTTATTCCTATCTATATGATCAGTTACACACTTAATATGATCACTTTAACATGTAACATGACATTAGTACAACCCATCTTAATGGGATTTGGAGTCCCATGGCAAGAGTTTTGCTTTACCCTTAGGGATAAGTCCGAGGGAATGTGTGCCATACTGTACGTCTCCTCCCACTCAGTTCTCACTCTTATTTTTTAACTGGGATCTATCTTCAATTGTATTTAAACACCTATGAATAATTCTGTGCTAAGTAGAGTTCAACCAATGGTATTCAGTAGAAAAATAAAATAGTAAAAAAGTAAAATAAAACTGTTCCTTGATAGTCAAGACAAGGGCTGTTAAAGTCATTGCTTCTCATAGTGCCTGATTCACTTTTACAGGTTTCCTTTTAGGTGTTCTGTTAGTTGTCACAGATAAGGGAGAACCTATGATATTTGTCCCTTTGGGACTGGCTTATTTCACTAAGTATCATGTTTTCCAGATTCCTCCATTTTGTTGCAAATGACTGGATTTCTTTTTTTTTTTTTATAACCACTGTGTAGTATTCCATAGAATACATATCCCATAATTTCTTTATCCAATCTTCTATTGATGGGAAATTTAGCTTGATTCTTATGTCTTAGCTATTGTGAATTGAGCTGCAATGAACATGGAGGTTCAGATAGCTCTTTTCTTTGCTGATTTCATTTGCCTTGGGTAAATTAAGAGGAGTGGGATGGCTGGGTCATGTAGTAGAGCTATATTCAGATTTCTGAGGTATCTCCAAACTCTTCCATAGTGGCTTTACCAGTTTGCTTTCCTACCAACAGTGAATTAGGGTACCTTTTCCCCCACATCCTCTCCAGCATTTGTTCTTCGTTGATTTCTCTATGAAAGCCATTCTAATTGGGGTGAGGTGAAACTTCATTGTGGTTTTATTTGCATTTCCCTGATGGCTAGTTATCCTGAACATTTTTTCATGTGTCTGTTGGCCATTTGGATTTTCTCTTTTGAAAAATGTCTGTTTAAGTTCTTGGCCCATCTCTTAAGCGGGTTATTTGTTTTGTTGTGGTGGAGTTTCTTGATCTCTTTGTAGATTCTGGTTGTTAATCCTTTATCACTTGTTTGGTTTGCAAATAATTCCCCCCATCTGTTGGTGTCGCTCCCCCTCTTCATGGAGGTACAACACAGGACCCTGCGCTGTTCTTTCGTCTGCTCGGCCCTCCCCGGGTTTGCTGCTGGTTCTTCCCGGGTTGGCTACCGTCCCTTCCACCTCCGTGGAAGGGCGGTTCCCCCTGCCACTTTCCCCACTTCCGCGGGGGAGCGGCACACCGCCGGCCGGCTCTCTCGGGGGCTGCTCAGGTGTTATTCGGATAGATGTTCCCCGGTGCATATTGTCTCTCTCCTCCTTTATAGTCCTCTTCCACCAATCCCAACTCGGCTGCCCACACGCCGAGTACGCTGCTCTCCTCCAATCAGGAGCCGGTCCTGCTGTTTATTGGTTGAACTGGAGGCAGCTGTGTAGAAGCTGTTTCCTCCTCTCTCAGCGCCATATTGTGGGAGAGCAGATGCATAGAATAAGTCTTAATTCCAGTAACTTAGTCTAGTCCGAGTTGCTCCCAGTTGCTCCCCACAGTTGGTTACCTCTTCACTTTCCTGAATGCTTCTTTTGCTGGACAGAAACTTCTCAGTTTGATGTAATCCCATTTGTTAATTTTGGTTTTGACCACCTGTGCCTCTGAGGTCTTTTCTGAGAAGTCTTTGCCTGTGCCTATCTCTTGCAGGGTTTCTCCAATGTTCTATAATAATTTGGTGGTGTTGGGTCATAGATTTAGATCTTTAATCCATGTTGAGTGGATTTTTGTATAAGGTGTAAGGTAGGGGTCTTGCTTCATACTTGTCCATGTAAAAATCCAGTTTTCCCAGCACCATTTATTGAATAGACTGTCCTTGCTCCAGGAATTGGTTTTAGTTCCTTGATCAAATATAAGTTGGTTGTAGATGTTTGGATTGATTTCTAGTGTTTCTCTTCTGTTCCATTGGTCTATCCATCAGTTTCTGTACCAGTACCATGGTGTTTTGATTATAACTGCCCTATAGTATGTCTTGAAATCTGTTTTTGTGATGCCTTTGACTCTGTTTTTTTGTACAAGATTGCTTTAGCTATTGGAGTTACAGACAGTGAGAGAGAAGGAGAAAGGTCTTCCTTCCATTGGTTCACTCCTTAAATGGCTGCAATGGCTGGAGCTTCATTGATCCGAAGCCAGGAACCAGGTGCTTATTCCTGGTTTCCCACGTGGGTGCAGGGGCCCAAGCACTTGGGCCATCTTCCTCTGCCCTCCTGGGCCACAGCAGAGAGCTGGACTGGAAGAGGAGCAACCGGGACTAGAACCGGCACCCATATGGGATGCCGGCGCTGCAGGCAGAGGATTAAGCCTAGTGTGCCATGGTGCCAGCCCCTCTTTATTGTAATTTCTGATGATTCTTATTATTTCTGTGGTGTCTGTTGTAATATTTCCTTTTTCATCTCTGATTTTATTTATTTGGGTCTTCTCTCTCCTTTTTTAGTTAGTTGGACCAATGGAGTGTCAATTTTGTTTGTTTTTTCAAAAAACCAGCTGCTCGTTTTGCTGATTTTTCATAGATTTTTTATTCAATTTTGGTGATTTCTTCTCTAATTTTAATTACTTCTTCTCTTCTACTGGTTTTGGGGTTGGTTTGCTGTTGTTTTTCTAGATCCTTGAGGTGCA